AACCCCACTGTGCTGGCTTGTTCACAGATATTGTGAAACAGCTTCAACAGCTGCCGCTGAACTCCATCTTAAGTCGAAAAGCTCGGAGCACAGAATTTCATCTTTGACTGCATCTGCTCAATATATATGTAAATTGTGACCAACCATTCACGACCTAAATTCCACAAACCTGTTGCTAGGTTAACCAGTTTGGTGGTCGGGGGGAGGGTAAGATAATGCTACATAATGACATTATAAAGCACTAACAATTAAATTGAGAGCATTTGTCGAGCTTTCAGTTAGTTATAGGAATTAATAGAAATGGAATTTACAGAAGTGGGGATCTCTGTACTTTTGGAGTTTCCATGGTAACAGTGAATCACAGGATGTTTTCTGGTTATTTTCCCTAAAGCTATGACTTTAAAGCTATAAAATATACTATACTTTATATACTATAAATATATACTTTATATACTTTGCATACTTTATATATATATATGGGACATTGCTGGGCACAAATTGGCTGACCTTTTTGTCCACAGGAAACACACAATTGCTGTTATTTAATACTACAGTATAACCAGTGAAACACTTTGAGATATCCTCCTGACATGAAAGGCATTACACCAGATGCAAGCATTACTATTATATCCTGAAAGTGCTTAACAGAGCAGTTACAAAGCACGAAGCTCCAAAGTAATACCAGAGGCCAGAGTATGATATTGATCATGAGTAACCTTGGAACACATTTATAAAGGCAGATGTCACCTTTGTTCCATCCATGAGTGAGAAGGGAACTGAAGAGTATGGGAGAAAGGGTTAGGAGGGCTGGAAATTCACTGGCAATGTAAACCCTGGCATAGCAACTATTTGGGCCAAATGGCTTGTGTCCATGCTGTACCGTTTATATTATTCCATGTAATTCTATGTGTCCTGACCAATGCAGTATACCCGAGATCAGTTCCCACCATGGTACGAAAACACAGCTGCAGGAAATAGCTGAAGCATAAAAATAAAAAAAACACTTGAGTTGTGAACAGATGCGGATGGGTTAGGTTTCCAGTCCCATTAGCTCTGTTTCTCCACTTCCCTGGCTCACATTTTCTACTGATAAGTTGCAGCTCCCTTAAATTGAAAAGATGCGCATCCTGCTCCACACCCCATCCCCCTCCCCCCACCCACCACCCCCAGAGAGATGGTTAAGAGTGTCGATCTGCAGTTTAATTGGAAGACTTTCCCACAGAGTATGTGAGGCTTGAAATATGCTCCAGAAAACAAGTGTTCATTAATCTCATGGCTGTTTATGGGGTTGTACTGCGTGCCAAATATCTGCAATGCCTGTTTTACACTTGCCAATAATTACTGTAATGCACTTTGAGATCTTTTCATATTTAGTCGCTATAAGTGTCACCCTGGTAGCGCTCAAGCCCTGAGTCAGAAGGTTGCGGTTTTAAGTCCCACGTCAGAACTTTGAGCTGCTGGACTAGGCTAACACTTCAATGTAATGTAGGAGATGTGCTGCATTGTCCTTTGAAATGAGAAGTTAAACCGAGGTCTTGTGTGCCTGTTCAGGTGGATGTTGAAGAATTCATGGCACTATTTGAAAAGAGATGCGAGTTTTTCACAGCGTCCTGGCCAATAGTCCCCCAGACAATATTTCACTTTGTGGCTGTTTGTGGGACATTGCTGGGCTCAAATTAGCTGTGCCATTTGCCCACCAAATGCACAATCACTGCAATTTACAATAAATCCTATGTCCCGTTTTGAGACATCCTTCTGACGTGAAAGGTGATATAACAAATGTAAGTATTATTATACAAATGCAAGTTCTTCTGGTCACTGGTGGATTTCCAGACATCCTGTGTTTTACCTTCTAATGTCTGTGGTGGGATAGTATCACATTATCCACACTGGTTTGACTCATCTTTCCACAGGTACATAAAAGCGCTGCAGTCCTGAATTCTAATCTTTCCTATCCTGTTTGAGTCTCAGTATGTTCTTGTTTTTTATATTTCATCACAAATAACACAGTAAGAGAAAGATTGTTGTTGATTATTCCTATGTTGGTGCTGAGGGAACGAAGGCTGGCACTCTGCTATCATTGCTCAGAGGTTCTCACCTTTTTTTGAGTAGTTGAATATTCGCTCCATGTACACGCACAAACACACACACAAATAGGCACAAAATGTTTGCCTGCAGTATCACCATCCCAGTTGATGTTTTAATTTGTACGTGTTTATTAAATTCAATGTACTAGTTAATTAGCACTAAAGATGTTGCTTAACGCACTGCACATTTCAATTTTCACTCTTACATTTCTCTACTCTACGCTTTCATTCTGCTCCCCCAGCTCAGGCTCCCAGGCAGCTGTGTGATGCATTTTGAGACATGACTGACACTATAAAAATGTTCAATTATTATGGTTCTACCCTGCTCGATTTGACCTTTGGGGCATTTTTTTCTTTAGCTATTTAGTTTGCATTCTGGTTTCAGAAAAAGGTTTGATGGGTCAAATGATCTTTCTTTATCTCAGGCTTTCTTCCACAGGACAGTTCTGGCAATGTTAGCCGGAGCTCATCATTTATGCATGTGCAGCAGTAGCACAGATAAGTGACCTTTGGCTACTCTGAAAGCAATTAATTATAATCTCAGACCACCAAATGGATCATTCACTCCTTGCCTGCTTACAGGACATTGCTATGCACAAATTTGCTGCCATGTTCACCACAAAACACACAGCCACTACACTTTACAGTATATCCTGTGAATACTTTGAGACACCCTCCTGATGTGAAATCCATCCAAAAAAATGGATAATAAGCATTATTATTATTATCAAAATCTCTTCTCGCTTCCAGTGAAATGCCAAACAAAAAGATGCAGGTAAACTCTCATTGCCTACTAAAAACCTATTAAATATACAGAGACACAGAGCTGCAGTACCAAAGAGGCCAATCTGTGCTGCTCTCAAACGAGTTCACTGATTTGACCACAATGGAGTAATTGTCCGGTTTATAGAGCCAGTTGAAGAGAAATGCCATTAAATATTTATAATAATCCTTACATTTGGTACAGAAAGTTTCAGTACAAGCAAGAACATTTGTCCCTTTGAGTCTACACCAATTCTCAGAACAAGTGTTCATTTAATCCCACTGCCTTCCTATAACATCATGCCCCTTCAAGCCTCTATAGATAGTCTTTCCAAGTGCAAGGATGGTGCAAAGGGCTTCACAAGATATACTGTAAAATGCAGGATCTGTGTATTTTATTGGCACAACCATCCAAAAAGTACAACTATCACAGTTATGGAGTTAATGCAATAGTAAGTTGGAAAATATAAGAGATCATATTGGGAAAGAACTCGATAAGTGCCATATCAATGAACTAAACCATAATTTTTTGATCAATTGGGGCTAGAATTTCTTTCCTTTTGCTCACTTTGCTCTCTTGGAGGTACATCCAAGGTATTTTTAGGGCTTTGCTGTTTTTTCTTCAACATTAATTTGTTCCCCCCCTGCTCATGTCTTTTCTTCCTCCATCAACACTGCACTTCCAATCTCCCAACTCAGCATTTTAAAACTTCCCTGCAACACTAGGCAAGGTATACGTATATGGAGAGTTCTTATTTTTGAAGGATGTAAGAGTAATAAATTTAGAAAAACAATGCATTTTATGTCAGGAATAGCGCCTTTCATGTCAGGAATAAGTCTTAAAGCATTTCACAGAATTCAACAGTAAAGTGAAGTGACTGTCTATTTTGCATGACAACCAATTTGCGCACAACCATGTCCAATACACAGCCATGAAGCAAATGACCAATTTTTATTTTGGGAATTGTTGGCCAGGACACCAATCTTCCTTCTCTGTTTAAATAATGCCACAGATCTTTAATGCCCACTTGAACAGGCAGACAGGTTTGACGTCTCATCTGAAGGACATTACCTCTAACAAAACAAAGTACCGTAATGTGGTGTCAGCCCAGACTGTGAACTTGAAGCCCCAATGATGTTATTTTGTTATGGTATGAAGGGCTTGAACCCACGACCTTCTGTGGTAAAAATAAAAGCTCTGGAATCAGCTTACAGCCCCAATTCAAAATAAATGCAATCATTTAAAAAAGGTTCAAGGCCATTTAAGTTATGAAATATTTTAATCGAGAGCTGCTTACCTGTGGACATATCAATATACAGCCCATCGAGAGTAGTACAGATTTGCTCCTTCTCATGTTAATTGTTCCTTCCTCCAGGTTAGTACATTGTGAATACAGTATTCTACATTGCAAAGAATAGTTCAAGGAGGTCAAGAAAAGGCGCTACTTAAATATGCTGAATGCTATGTGTTTACTGAAGTGTGGTTCCCCAACGAAATCCACACGAGGCACCAAAGAATACTCCTCTCCGAAAAGAGCACCAGTCTAACAAAAAGGAAACATTAGAAAACATTAATCTGTCGATATGTAATGCGGCAGTTCATTTTTCCGATACTGCAAAGCTTTTAGGTACTTGTGAAATAATTGACAACTTAGATTCGAGAAATAACCCCTCTAAATGTCTATTCCCCACCACCACCACTTCTCTTACAGGGAAAAGGCAGACACTACATTTATTGAAATTCACTGAACATGGGTGCTGTTAGCTCAAAATTCAGAAGTGAAAATCTGCCAATAAAAGTGAGATCAATAAACCATGCAGAAGAATAAAAATCAGGGATGGTTGCTGGTGCGTACTAAGTTAACTTTCCAGAGTTTCAGTTTTCTCTAGTAGTTAAATATATTAAACTATTAGATAATATGTTGAGTGGAGTGACATGCTGCCCGTGTTCCTCTGGGAAATTTACAACTCTTCCAATATGGGTGTCACAAATATCAACACAACCCATCATAATGTATTTGTAAAACACCTGAGAAAGGCTTTTTATTTGAAGGCCTATGAATTCAGGCTCCAACACTGTATTTCCAAGTCTTAAGTTGGCCCATGTTGACCAAGATCAAAATGAAATGGAAGAACAGCGCAGTTCAAGTGTTTAAAACATTTATTTTGTTTTCAAGCTTTACCCTACAGGTTCCATAGTATTTTAAAATGACATATAAAACAACTGGTTAACTAGAGTACAGAAGGTACTAATCACAAACAGTACACATTTCAAATATCATGGTTCAAAACAGCCCAGTTTTTCTTGAAAAAAGTTGAGATTAAAATTCGTCAGTTAACTTCAATCACACCGATCAACTCGTAGAAAGTCAGGTAGCATAAAAAATATGAAGCCAAAACAATTCAGAGAACACTGAGTGAAATTCATCACTGGTTTTGTCTCACAGAACCCTGTATTGAATGTCTCGTAGGATTTGAAACTCAGAAATGCACTGCAACAGATCCAGTCTTCAGTTATACACATTTCATGCGACTAATAATGGCGCAAAACAATTTTCTAAGCTTTCGTTTCTAAAATCCTATTGTGTTTTGTGCAAAAAATGGTGGTGAGATTTCAGATTCTATTCTTTGACTGGATGTTGTGTAACTGCCAGGGCAAGAATTCCCTACTTTGAGGCAAAGAAGTCAATTATTTAAAAAGACTCACTAAGAATGTACGACCGGGGTTGGCAGTGATTATTTAACTCGTGGAAATGATGATCAGAACACTCAAATGCATGCAAAACAAAACCAGATGACAGAAACTCCATTGCATCTCCTTCGTAGTTTAACCCAACAGATTATAAATACTGTACAATATTGCACTGGACAGTTTATCTTCCCAAATTGGGAAATTCGGAAAAGCTTCAGTTTTCTTTTCTTGAAATACGAGACGTCCGTTTCTAAAGTCTATACAACTTGTAACAACACCCACACACACAAAAAATGATTCACGCAATACAACTGTACACCTCATAGGCTTTAGATAAAAAACAGTGCCACCCCTTTGAGGATAACCAACCCCTTTCCAACGGGCCATTGTAAACATGTTGAGTTGCACTCGGCTCTACAATTGCCAACTGGCACATCTTTCAGCACGCTTGCAGGACACGTTAGGTCCATAGTAATGAGAAGCTACCCTGCTTGGAGGGTGCTGTAAAAGTGCAAGTTGTTGTTGTTATTGTAATGGCAACAGGGAACAGCTGGTTGAGGTTAAAACCTTGGGACTTGGCACCAGCTTCAAGCCAACAGGGAGTCCCAATCTTGGCTTCTTGATTAAAAAAAAGATGGTTTTATTAAATTCCTAAAAACTGAATAAAAACCAAGTCAAAAATATGAACGTTTCCTACAAATTTAATTCCACTATAAAAACTATAAAAACACTGAAAGTCCTTTACTCTTAACCACCTGCTTCATACTCCTGGACTCTTTGGGCTCCGATGTAATCTGGTTCGGAGTTTGGGTCGGTCTCCTACTTCTTTTGAGGCGCGCTCAGTTTTCGCATTCCTCTTATCCGATCTAATAGCTCCTTGACAAATACCTGAAATGAAAAAATATATATATTTTTAAAATCGACTGTTGAACAAAAATAAACAAGTAATAATTTCTTGTGATTATATTGTTTGGAGCAGTTCACACTGAATAAGGGAGGTGTCTGACCTGAGCAAGGAAAGAGCAGGAAGGTGACTGGCAAATGTATTTGAACAGGTAGGTTTTTAAGGCTGGATTTAAAGACAACGAACGGGTGAGGCAGAGGGGTAGAGGGAAGGAGTCCCAACTTTGGGGATCAGAGAAGAGAAATGCTACAACATGAAAGAATTTATAGACGAGGACCTTGAAAATTATGCAAAAGCTCTAGACAGATATTTTGTGAAAGGTTTAGAAACTGTACAATTGCTACAATCTTCTTGGAGCAGAAATATGTGCTAATTGGACCAAACCAGGGATCATTAGCACTAAGTTGATAGCTGCTGTTGAATGCAAGTTAATGAATATTAAATTACAAGGTATATACAGAGTCTAGGTTTATAACCATATGCAGAGCAAAGATGCAGATATGTTAACAGATGGCCCTCAGCATTGGAAAATTAGTCAAAGGTAGCATTCGGACAAAATAACTCTGGTTCCAGTTAAGAGACAAGTGCTCCTTAACAATAGGTATCCAAGATGTCTAGGCAACTCATATGAACAAAGAGGAAGAGAAAGCACAATGGTGGTTCATCCAGCTTGTCCCACAGCAACAAAGCAAACAATCCACCATCATCCCATTCCCCTGAAAATCGATCTCCTCACCAAATAGCTATCCAGCTCCCTTTTGAATTTGCTGACCAATCTGCCTCTGTCACCTCCTGGATAATCTGTTCCACATATGAGGCCCTCTCTGTGTAATTCCATGAAGTAACTGGTGTGTAATAATGAGAGTCTAACAGGTGCAGAGACAAATCTCGGTGAACATAAAGAGGAGTTTACAAAATGCATTAAATTCCCTAGATCACTGCATTGCCAACACAGCAAGGAAAGTGTATTTTCCCCACATAAATTGCTCAGATGTGAGCATATGCAGAATGATATCAAAATCTGCAGCCAGCAGCAAACCAAGAGAACAGAAAAGTGTTGATTATTTCAAGAACAAATTTTTGTTGGGAAATAATAAACAATACAAAGTAACATTTGTATAGCACCTTTCACGTCAGAGGACGTCCCAAGGCGCTGATATCTCAGGATACAATATATACTCCTGTGGAGTCCTGTAGCTCAGTGGTTAGAGCACTCGCTTTGCAAGTGAGAGACCTGAGTTCAATTCCAGGCAGGGCGAAACCTTGGGCAAGTTTCCTTACTCCACACGCCTAATAATAATCCCTCCAAAAAAAAAACAATAATTTAATTGGTCATTTTCAATCTACGACTGTTTGTGGGCATTGCTGTGCGCAATTGGCTGCCGCGTTCGCCCACAAATATACAGTCAATTCACTTTACAGTATGTTCTGTGAAGCGCTTTGGGACGTCCTCCCGACGTGAAAAGCGCTATATCAAATGCAAGGATTATTATTATATTATTATTATTATTATTATAGTTTGGGACATGACATGTGCATGTGATTACCAGGATGGTGGAAGGCGAACTGGATGGGCCTTGGTCTTTCTTTTGTCTAGCAATTCTTATGTTCTTAAAACGCAGTAGTGGAGATTACAGAAAGACAGAGATTATATGGATGGGAAGATTGTGGCAAGTTTAAATTAGAATAGGAAGAACACAACACTCATGTCTAAACATCTAACAGTTCTTCACAGAATGAATTACTTTGAAATATAGTGACTGTTATTTTGATATTCTTCACCAGCAGCATCCCATAGCAGTAACAAGCTGATTGACCAACTAATGGGTTTATTTTATTGGATGACTGCAGATGAGGGAGAAATATTGACATGATATTAGCAGAGCAGGAGATTATTTGACCTGTTGGTCACAATTTGTTCAAGAAAAAACTCTGAAGCTGTAACAGGTATGAGAGCAATGTGTTATTCTGGAAGGAGAATAATAATAATAATAGTAGTAATAATAATAATAATAGCATTTGATATAGCACCTTATCACTTTGTTAAGAGTCCCAAAGCGCTTCACAGGATATAATCTAAAGTGTAGTGACCACGCATTTGTAGGTCAACACAGCAGCCAATTTGCGCACAGTAATATACCACAAACAGGCATGAACTGAGTGACCAATTTTATTTGGGGGATTGCTCACAGAATAAGATCATATAGGCTGAAAGTTCTTCTTCATCTAAACCTATAGTGCAGTACTGAGTTATCTGCTGCAGTGGAATCAATTGACTGATTTTTGAAAGGACTGATATGAAAACATAATTTGGAAAGAGCAGAAAAGTGGGATTACAAGTAGCTCAATTAGAGAGATAACACTGCACCCACAATGGTCTGAACTAGCCTTTCCTGGGTTAAAAAGTGTGCTCCGAGTTTCCAACACATCTGGATTGATCAGAACCGGAGAAGCTCATCCATTGTAAACCCTCAGGTAAAATGAAACTGCAAGGTAATGTCAAAAAAGAGCAGGTGTGAAAGCCAGAAAAGTATGCAGCAAAAATCAGTACTGAGTTATGAAAAAAATTGTCATTGAAGGGAAAAACAACCTCAGCAGGGAACATTGTCACTCAGTAAGAGTGGAAATTAAATTGCTTTTCTTTGTTATTTGGTAAAATATTAGAATCCATCAATTTCATGTCAAAATACAACATTTCAAGTCGAAGTTTATTAATCTAACAACTCATGGCTATTAGACGAGAAAGGAAATTCTGAAGTGCCTCAGAAATCTTGCCCATGATTGAACATTTTGTGCAATTTGAGAGAACCAGCAAAATCCTAGGAGTGTGCAGACAGCCTGAAACACTGGGATTTATCTCAAGCTTTTGTATGTAGACAGATCCAAACATTAGCACCTGGCAATTCCAGCAGCTTTATCTAAAGCCAGGTCCAAGTAACTTTTGGTTAACATACCTTACAGCCAGAACTCCTAAATAGGCCTTACTTGAGAGATGGTCCTTTCTCACTTCCGGGCAGGAAAAACACACTTCAACTGATTGCCAAGTTCAGTTTGACTTGACGGCTAGGTTTGTGTTTTCATAGGAATCCAGGCGACATGACTGTTCTTCCAACACTTTGTGTCCACATGATAATAGAGTGCTATTCTGCCTGGAGTGGAAGCTTGCTAATCCAATACAGGTCAACCAGGTTGGTATCAGTAACAAGCTCAGTTTCTTCTTCAAATGCAGTATTAGTAAGTGAGCCTGTCAGATCACTCAAATCTATAAAGAGGTCTGCTGTGGGCTGACTATGAAGTTATCATGGACTGGTGCCAATCTCAGTCTTCAGGAAACACTGCTCTAACATACCATCAATCTGCAGACCTAGTCTACAGACTAATCCATATATTTGTGAAGACTCCAGCAGGTCACCGGATGCGCAATGCCACTCGTACAGGATTACAGTACAAGTTTGATCTTTTAGACCAAATTAAAGTGTACAAGATTCAAGTGAAAGTTTGAGAATGTTAGAAATTGTGATAATTAGATGGATTTAGGAAAGTTGCATAAAACTACTTTTTGCTATTTAACAAGTACTCGCCTCGCAAGCAAGAGAAACGTTGGGCAAGTTTCCTTACTCCACATGTCTCTGTTTTGCTGGTAGTAAGTTGGAACCCGGTTGTTAGTCGATTGGTGGATCGCTTTTCTGGAGGTAATAAATCCTTAAAAATAAATAAACAAACAAACAAATAAATAATTGGTCACTCAATCCACGACCATTTGTGGAACATTGCTGTGCGCAACTGGCTGCCGTGTTTCGCTCACAAAATGTACAGTCAATTCACTTTACAGTATATTCTGTGAAGGGCTTTGAGACGTCTCGAAGACATGATAAGGCGCTATATCAAATGCAAGGCTTATTATTATTTAATTCCCCCCAATCCAAAACCCTATGTACAAGATGGTGTTAAACATAGGTAATTTTTGGCAAATTATTTTACATAATCCTCAGAGCTCGGCTTCATTCAGAAGCGTGGACACCTGTTGGAATGTCAGCAAGAGGACCAATATCAATTCCCATTCGGCTCCAGACACATTTGGTGAATTTCATCAGCAGTTCTGCCAGTATTTTAGCCATGAAGGTCATGGTGTTGCTTTACAATGTTATTAGAAGCTGCTGTTGTACCACAAGAGTTAGTCCATTCAGTCATGCAATGCTTTCCCTAGACAGCCTTGGGTTTTATTTATTAAACAGATTTTGTATGAATGTTATACATCTCAGATCAGAGCAATAGGTGAATACAATGAACCACTGCAGCAGAACAAATAGGGTTTTGAAGTCGAAACACTTAAATAAGCTTAGAGTCCTTACTTTTACTATTCAGTGCCTTGGTCCTCCCAACGTGAAAAGCGCTATACAAATGTAATTTTATATTGTATTCTGTTTCAAGATCCAAGGCCAGTGATCTGGGTTTCAGACCTAAGAACCTAGATAACTATAATGTTAGGCCATGGAATAACCATGTACAAAAATAAGATGTTTGATGTTGTGTGCTGCATATTTAGCGGTGTGGCAATATAATGAGTGTAAAGCAGGCATGTGCAAACTCAGCAACAACCAGTGTACAAGTGGGAAGTCTGTATAACACATTGTATGCAATGGCCTTGGCTTAAGAACATGAATAACATCATGGTGATTCAAACCTCACAACCTAGCAATTTCTGCAATTCAGCTTCAGTAAAATATTACAATTACAATATAGATTGAGATCACCATGGAATAAACATAGCCAAATCCATTTAGAAGCATTCTCTGCAGTTCAGAAGGAGGCCATTCAGCCCATCCAGTCCACACTGCCTGACAGCAAGGTGATCTCTCCACCCTGCCTTTTCCCTGTAACCTTCAAGCCCCCATTTGTAATATCAAAGCAGATTTAGTATTGCATTGGAGCTCGATAAGAAGTCTGAAAGTTTTACGATCATGCCCAAAATGACGTATCTTAC